AAACATCCAAGTTACCCAGGAGCTTGCTCTTCCTGAGACCATAGTCTGTGAACTGTCCTTAAATATCACATTTTGATTTTTACTATGTTACAGAGCCCCTGAATATGACATCGAACATGTAAATAAGTTAAATTCACTACTAACATGGGCAACATCCTGCCCACATGCTTTTATCTTTCTTAGTGGCCTCAATTTATCTCATATTAACTGGACCCTAAACAATTGTAAAACTGAACCCATATATGCAACCTTCTATAATGCTGTAAAAAATCTGGGACTGGAACAACTAGTAACCAACAATACTAGACTTAACAACTGCATCGATCTCATCTCTGCAATAGTTTGAATTCAATTTACGGAATACAAATTAAAGAACCCTTTTCCAACAGTGACCACAAAACAGGGCAAAGCAATAGACACATAGACTTCTGTAAAGCCTTTGATTCAGTGGTACATGACAAACTACTACTAAAACTAAAATCTTATGGTATCTCTGGACAACTGCGTAACTGGGTAGAAGCATTCCTGTCAGACAACAAATGGGTCAAAATTGGGAGTGTCCTATCAAATTCTGTACCTGTCAATAGTGGTGTCCCCCAAGGCAGTGTTCTAGAACCAACTCTCTTCATACTCCACATAAATGACCTCTTAAGAGCAACTGCGTTCTTTTCGCTGATGATGTAAAGCTATTCAACACCACAGACAATACTGCTACCCTTCAAAAAGACCTTGACTATGTATCAGAATGGCCAAACAATGGCAACATCAAATCTCAACAAATAAATGCTCTGTCTTACATATTGGCAAAAAAAAAAATCAGAAAATAAAATACAAGCTGAATAGTCAAGACCTTGTTGATGATCCAAGATCTGTAAAGGACCTTGGAATACTCATCTCTAATGATCTAAGTGCTAGAGCCACTGTAACTACATAGCAAAAAAGCCATTAAGAGTTGTTAACCTAACCCTATGTAGCTTTTTCTCTGGTAATATCACACTACTAACTAGAGCATACAAAATATTTGCTAGACAATACTTGAATACAGCTCATCAATCTGGAACCCGCATTACATATCTGATATTAACACAGTTGAGAAAGTCCAGAAATATTTCACAAGAAGAGTTCTCCACTCCTCTACTCGTTGCAGAATACCTTATGCTACCAGACTTGAAATTCTAGACCTAGAAAACCTAGAACTATGCCGCCTTTGGTCCAATCCAAGTATAGTATATAAAATTATATATTGCAATGTCCTACCTGTCAATGAATACTTCAGCTTCAACCATAACAATACAAGAGCACACAATAGATACAAACTCAAGGTTAACTGCACCAAACTTGATTGCAGGAAATACGATTTCAGCAACAGAGTGGTCAATGTCTGGAATAACTCTACCTGACTCTGGTTTCTTCCCCAAACCCCAAAAACCTTAGACTGTCTACTATTGACCTCACCCCTTTCCTAAGAGATCTGTAGGGGTCGTGCCTACCATCCATCCTATTGTTTTTTTTTATTTTTCTTATATGTATTCATTTCATGTATTCATAACTATGTTTATTCTTATACCTGTTATCTTATAATCGCTTGACAAATAAATAAATATTACCAAGATGAATATTACTCAAAAGAATTGTAACCAGACAACACACTGTCTATATGGATTTTGAACATGTTGCTCTATTTATATTAATAAAAAAGTGAATTCAAAGACATAATTTCAAAGCATTTCTTTCAAAACCCTTATAGAAAATATTTTCTCTTAACTCAGGACAACGCAGGTACCAGTGTCAACACAATGATTGTAGCTATTCTCTTCTATCGATGCTTCGTTTCTTAGCCGAGGGAGCCAGTGTTAATTTTGAAACAAACTGCACATTTTTGCTGTCATTACAGTGCCCGTACATTCTGTTTTTGAAATCTTCGCAAATCCGTCGCTTTCGAAGAAAGGGAAAATCAAACCATCAAACACTTAAAAAATAAACAGCACAAGGAAGTAGTTGGATGTGCACGCCTTCTCACGTCTCCTGCGTGTCCCATCCCACCTCCCCGTCCGGGCGTGGTTTCTTTCTGGTGCACAAGTGGAAAAAGAGGGCGAGCGCGCTGAGTGAAAGGCCGCACGGTAATGTGGGCCAAAAATGGGTGGAGGGGGCTGATAATGGGCTGTAGTGGCGGCGGCGCTTTGCCGGGAGGTGGGGTCGGAAGTTATAACCGTGGCAAGTTACTACAGGGCGGCCGCTGAGAGACGAGAGAAGTTCGGGCCCTGAAGTCCTTGATCGGGCGAGGAAAGGAGCCCCCGGGTAATACGATCCGATGGTTTCTTCCCCCTTGTTACCCTGGGATGAGCGTGGTGGTAAACTCTAAATCGATCCTACTCGAAGACTCCCTGTTTCCTAGAGGCCGAACTGTTTTCTATAATGTGCATTAATCGTAGTTATTAAGTTGTTAAATATCTTTACATTAGTAATTGGCATTTAACATTGCTGAAATTAATTAGCAAAAATATTTTCATAGCATTAAGTAATGAATTTAGGGATCAATTCAGGCAAAAACGGATGTAGGTGTGATTGTATAGTAATGCATATTTATTACCAATAAAAACTAATCCGAACCCATGAGGTAATTTAAATACACACAGTCAGTGAGAGAGAGAGAGATTCATCCCCAAAAATATAAATCTGCGTCTTCCCCCATTCCCTTCTCTGTCATCTTTTTGAGATTTCATCAAGCACTACACAGAGTTTGAAATTATATGCTGCTTTAGGGTTGTGAAGTAGGTTGGGCTGAGACAGAATGAATGACTGGCCCAAAGTCACCCAGCTGGCTTTCATGCAATCTTACTATACCAATTACCCCAACTTCTGTTGGATGACAAATTCTGTCAAGCAAGATGTTAAAAAAAAAATCTTAATTGGTCTTGCTGATAACTTTCTTTCAAATGTGAAGGAAGGAAGAAGAGGATCAGTTATCTTTGAATCAATAGTAATCTAGGAACAACTTTGCTGAGCAAGTGGAAATAGCAGAAACATTGGGCCAATATAATGTTACCATTTTTTAATTTTAAGGGAAAACAAAAATGTATAATTATCAAACACATTTTGGGGACTTTTTGTTAAAATAGCAGATTTTAATATATTTAGAGCAATGACAAGTAGGATTCTATGGCACAAAAAACAAATGGTTTAAACAAGTTCAAATTTTCTGAGAATTTTGAATATTGAAGCATAATTGTGAACTAATTCATTAGGGAAAAAATAATGAAGGACAGCAGAAATATACCATGTAAAAAGCTTAGTAAACATCCAAAAACAAAAAAGGACAAACAAAGAAAACAGTCACAAATAGGCAACCTGTAACTATTGGACTGATGTCAAGAAGGTAATACCAGAATCATATGATGTTAGCAAAGAATGCATGCAATGACAAAATAGCATATTTAGATGAATTCAGAATAAAACGGGTGTGTGTGTCAATATGCTCTTCAGGTTTCTTTTTACAATGGCTTGTATAAATAGATGCTGTAAATGTTTATCAAATGTATGATTGACATACATTTGGGTGAAATAAGTAGAGTAGTACTGAAGAAGACAGAAATAAAACAGTAATGAAATGAATATAAGACAGCAGTGTAATGTGGCTTCAGAACAGTCAAATACAATTTAAAGCTGCATCAACTGAAATATAATTATCAAAACAGGAAGCAGTTCTTTTGCCTTTGTTAGATTTAATCTCAAGTGTTGTGGCCAGTTTTGGGCAACATACTTTAAGAAAGATACAAAGGCAGATTCAGAAAAAGGCAATGAGAATGATCTAGGGCCGTGATGGCAAACCTATGGCACTCGTGCCGGCATACGAGAGGTTGCATGGAAGAACCCTACTGCGTGTGCACGCATGCACCACCTGCCTGAAAGCTGATTGTCTTGTATCTGGCACACATGTGCAGGGGCAGGGGGTGCATGGGAGACGCATGTATAGAGATGTGTGGGGCACACGCAGGGTTGTATGTGCAGGCACACAATGCATGGGGTGGGGGGATTGCACATGCATGCACAGAGACTCATGGCGTGCATGGGGGATCATACGCGCATGCGCAGGGGTGTGGGGGGCACATGCATTGCTTTCTGGGTGCTGGCACACAAGTGCACATGCATGAGTGCATGTGCAATTTTCAGCACAGGAGACAAAAAAGGTTAGCCACCACTGATCTAGGGACTGGAAACTATATCCTATGTAGAAAAATTAAAGGAGCATGGTATTTAATCCTGAGAAAAAGTGACAAAAGTATATGTACAGATCATCCTTGCTAAATAATTGTAATTCGGACTGGAATTCCATCACTAAATGAGGTAATCATAAAGTATGAAATCATTTGAACATGCTGCTTAGCAATGACTTTTCTAGCAGTCCCCAGTTGCAAGGACTATGAAAGTCATCAAACAACGACTTCCTAAGACTGCAGCTTCTGACTTCCTGCTGGTTTCCTCATTGACTTTGCTTGTCAGAAGCTGAAAGGGAAGGTTGCAAATTGTGAGCATCCTATATCATGATCACATGATTGAAGAGGTGCTGAAATGGCCAGAACATTGAAGACCATCCATAGATATTATTTGTTCAGCTCCTTTGCAAATTTGAATGTTTGCTGAATGAGTGATCATAAATTGAAGACCACCTGTAATGGAGCTGTCCATATACTTGAAAGGATGTCATTTTCATTTCTATGGGTCATAGAATAATGAAATTAAGTTATAAGAAGGCAGATAGCAATTGCACTGAATGTTAGGGAAAAAACCTTTACTAATAGTAAGAGTTCAACAATTGCTTAGTGTGTGGGCTTCCCTTTGGATGAATTCAAGAGGAAGCATAATTTGGATTCCTACAGTATATAGAGCACATGGCTGGATGTGTTGGCCTACAAAGTCTCTTCCACCTGTGTGAGTCTAGGTATAGAAACATTTAGATTGATGCAACAAACTTTTTCTCCTTCTTCCAACAGATAACTATCATGCCAAGTCCTAGGAACAGTCCAAAGAGCATTCATGAGAGACGGGCTTATGGAAGTGGGCTAGAGTTCTTGTCATTGACAAATCAGAGAGGCCCAATATCCCCAGAAAATATGTCTCACCATAAAGACTCTCCTACTAGTACTGGCCCTCAACAGGCTTTACCTGAAGAGGACTGTATGAAGCTCAATCCTTCTTTCTGGAATATTGCCCTGCATTCTCTTATGGATGTTGATTTGTGGGCCTCTAAACTACTGGGTGTATGTGCTGGAGAGAATTCCCCATGGGGCAGTGTCCGTCCTCTCATGATGGTCATAGAGGTGTCAGGACATGGAATTCCTTGGCTAACTGGTACATTGTACGGGCTTTACAGAAGTGGCAACTCAGCAGGTCGTGAAGTGTTGCTCAATCTACTTTTTGGTAAGAGCCGCCTTTACCTTACCCAGGAGGTTTTGTTCTTTATATTTGTTATATTTCTCTTGTGATGATTGGCCCAAGATGTGAATAATATCACAAAGAATGATAGACATAATATTTTCACCTTTCTATCCTTTGATTTTCTTTGTAGATAGTTTCCATAATAGTGAAAATTCTTTTATATGGACATGATGCAGTACTGTTCTCCCAGATTCAGATTGTTTACAAACAGCATTGTGAACTTTGGTTGAACATTGTAATGTAGAAACCCTAGGAATTAATTAAAACAAAACTAAAGTACTAGTGTTAGAAAATGTCCTAAAATGCATATCTGTAAATGAAATAATCATCCAATGCAGGTCAAGTAATTTAAGTATCTTAAAATCATATTTTGTGCCGTAATAGGCAAACTATGCATGGAATACATAATACAAACAGCTCAGCCACAGCCCTCCAAATATTCTTCTTTGCCAAAGGGCCATTGTATACTCCTGCTACACTGTGAGTACATTCAGACCATGTTTGGACACAATTATTATTTGGTGCATATGTAGGCCCTAACAAGTACTTTACAAGGGTACATATTAAGTATCTCAGATCCTATTTAAAATCCTGTGTTGTGTTTCAGTTGTGATATTCCATCATGGTACCAACAGTAAAGTTGAATATATATTTTCAGATATTGAACTAAACTGCTTTTCCTCCTCTAAATCCTCAGGTCCTTAATGACAAGTTTGTTTACTTCTGGTCCATGTATAAAAACTCTGAAACGTTGGGGGTTTTCCTTAACCCATGTGCACATGCTAGAGCAAGAATTTACTGTAAAGATAGTAATAGCGCCTCTTCACACTGGAAGACATCCTTAACTGCTGTGGAAACGTATGCTATTAATAAATCTTTGACATTTAATACTGACCTTTTTAATGCTTGAAAGGCCATTAAAATATTGGAATGTGTTTCAAGTGTACATTCATTTACATTCATTACAAAAAGATTGAAAAACCGTCTCTATTATGCCAAAGAACTTCAGGTTTTTTGCTGCAGGATAGTAGAAAAAGGTTCTTGAATCTGCTATTTTTCTCAAGATTTGTTTGCTTATTTCAATTTCTCCAAAAGATGCTATAGCGTTTGACTTGATTGATAGTTTTAATGTTCTTGGCTAATTCTTTGGTAGATATATACTTCATTAACTTTGTTTTGTTTTTCCTCAGAATAGTGCAATTACCTACACTGTTGAAAGAGTGCTGTGTATTGTCAATCACTTATTGGCTTTGGAAAGCACAACAGGACAATGACAAGACACTAAGGATAATTACAGATTTAGAAAGCATTGGAGCTGAGTCTCCCTAAACTATGAATTGTAGAACATTTTTTACTCCAAATTCAACAGGCACCAAAATTATGGCAGTATTGGTATTTTGTAGGACATTCAGAATCTTTTTGCACATTTTCCAGAAATGGGCTGCATCAAGCTTTTGAATTGTGTAATGTACAGTTTTGAACCTAAAAAATCCTCTAAAACTAAGTAGAAGGCAGGGTGATTACCTAAATTAGGTAACAGTCTGTTTTGCCTCCTGGCCTGCTGCCCTCAAAATGGTTGAGCTGAATGAGAAGAAGCATGATGTCCCAAGATACTTCCTAGAGTTTAGCGGCAACAGCAATAGACTGTGCCAAGACTGCCATGACATGAGGAGCTGGTGGTGGTAGCAGTTGGTTCCAACATTAGAAAAAGCCTATGGGAGATAGATGGGAAGAAGCAGCCTATTAATATAGGCAGTCCTCACTTACAACAGTTCATTTAGTGACTGATTAAAGTTATAACGGCACTGAAAATGACTTCTGACAGTTTTTCACACGACTGTTGCAGCATCCTCATGTCACCTGATCAGAATTCTGATGCTTGGCAACTGATTCATATTTATGACGATAGCAGTGTCCTGGGATCATGTGATCACCTTTTGTAGTCCTCTGACAAGTAAAGTCAATGAGAAAGTCAGATTCACTTAACTGTGTTATTAAATAACTGTAGTGATTCACTTAACAATTATGGCAAGAAAAGTTGCAAAATGGGACAAAATTCACTTAGCAAATGTCTCACTTAGAAGCAGAAATTATGTGGTCAATTGTGGTTGTAAGTTGAGAATTACCTATAATGCTGCCTATTAAAAAAATCCTATATTGTATTTCAATTATAGCTAAAGTGGGAAATGGTGGCTGACTGGCCAGATCACAAAGTCAGCAGGCATCTGGGTTTTGATAAGACCCAGCACATTTTCTCTGTAGACGTAATGACAGTTCAGAAGTACCTGGACAAATGAGCATTGTGGTGAAGTGGACCTAGATGTGGAAATATGCATTAGTTCCTGGGTCAGAATATTAAGAGGTATAATTTCTTAGCTATGGAAAGCCATAGTTATAATATGATTGTAAGCCTACAATTCTGCTGCAAAAGCCAAAATAATCCTACATTTGAACAGACTTCACTAAAACCTACAATAATGTAATTATTTTGTAATTATTTGGTGTGTAGTGCTATAGAGCACTGCACACCAGAGCAACTAGACACAAGAACAGTTTTTTCCCGAACCCCATCACACTGCTAAACAAATAATTCCCTGCTTGTATCCTTATTATTTATATTGACTGTTTCCTAGTATGATTTGATTGCCTATTTGTACCCTATGACTATATTAAGTATTGTACATTATGATTCTTGACAAATGTATCTTTTCCTTTTATGTACACTGAGAGCATATGCACCAAGACAAATTCCTTGTATGTCTACTCACACTTGACCAATAAATTCATTCATTCATTCATTCTACATCTGAAAAGTGAATTCACAGGCAATATTGTTATTTGCCGGGTTTGAAGCTTTGTAATTCATAGTGTTTTCCTTTATATGAAAGTTGTTTCTTTGTCTTATCTCACAGCTCTGACTCTTGATCTAGTTTTGGTGGCAGCAGTAAAAGGACTGGTGAAACGAAGACGCCCAGTCCACAACAAGATGGATATGTTTGCCACTGTCTCTGTGGACAAATATTCCTTTCCTTCAGGCCATGCTACCAGAGCCGCCATGGTGTGCAGATTTATATTACATCATCTTGTACTTGCAATCCCTCTGAGAGTGCTGGCTGTACTTTGGACCTTCATAGTGGGAATCTCTAGGATCATGCTTGGCAGACATAATGTAACAGATGTGGTCTTTGGGCTAATCATGGGCTACATGCAATATAATTTGGTGGAATATTTCTGGTTGTCACCTGTAAATGCTCCTGTCCTCTTTGCCTTGTGGAACTGATAGTTCTTAAGGGAAGAGGGATATTTGCCTTAGTGTAAACATGTCATACTTCATCTGATCATCAAATTAAATGAGTAGAGCCAAGATTTTCATAATATGTCTGATTTAACATAAGTTTACTCTGGAAGTCTTATTCACAAAAATAAGGCTTACCAGGCAGCAGACACTCTCGCGTGATTTTATGCAGTATTGAGGACATTGATACATAAATCGTATTAAAAATTGGATCTATAAATGTAGGTTGGAGCATGCCATTTATATTGTCGAATCTTCTCACCTATGCTACACCTTGTTTAATCATGATTTGTGAGTTTATCAACACATAAAACAACACAAACCGATACTTTGGGATGACAGAACACTGGAACTGCTTTTGATCAGATTATCCACTTGTGCTGTCCTCTTATTTTTATGGGATTTGTGATTAGACTAGAAATAATTGTGTGAATTAGTAAAATGAGTCTGCTTTTAGTACAATAAGACACAAAAATAATGATAGAAAATTATAAAACACTATTGTCAAACTGATTCCATAAATGGTATGTATTCCAATTAGTGCTAATAGCTTTTGATATTCAAATAATAGCATTTATTGTAGTTTTAGCTATTCTGACATATAAGTTGATCAGATTTTTGCAGAGTTTAAAATTTTGCTTTATAAATCGTATCCATTTCTTAATATATAATGTGAAAAAAAAGCACCCTCTTTGAGATCTGTAGTTTGGCCTATCAGGACATAGTAAAAATAACGTAAAACACAGTAGACATCACAGTAAAACACCATGTCATCATTTTTTACAAAGAAAGCCAACATGGAGAAGCCATGTGTGCAAAACGAAATAACATGTTTCCCCGAAAATAAGACCATCTTATTTATTTTTTTTGCCACTAAAAAAGGCACCAGGTCTTACTTTTGGGGGGGGGGGAATGTCGTCCATTGACTCACCTCACTTGTTGCCCTCACCCTTTTCGCTGTTAGAGGCTTTCAGGAACTTCTGCGGCCAGCAAGGCCTGCAAGGCTTTCCTGAAAGCCTCTAGCCGATAATGGAGCTCTGGATTGATCTGGAGCTCTGTTATCGGCTGCAGAGGCCTTTAGGAAAGCCTTGCCGGCTGCAGAAGAAATGGGCCAGCAATTTTTATCCATGCACCCTGGAGTGGGCGGGGTCTTAATTAGGACTTATTTTGGGGGTAGGGCTTTATTGGGCGCATGTGTAAAAATCAAGCTGGGTCATATTTTCGGGGGAAACGGTATACCTTATGATTCAATATCATGTAGAACCACCTTAGTATCAATAACTTGAAGTAATTCTTTTCTGCATGACTCACATTATTGTGGAGGAATTTTGGCCCACTCTTTTTTACAACATTGCTTCAGTTCATTGAGGTTTGTGGGCATTTGTTTATGCACAGATCTTTTGAGGTCCTGCCACAGCATTTCACGTCAGTGTTCCAACTAACCAACTCCAAACCAATAAACTCAGAGACAAGCAGTTCCTCAAAGTTCCATTTTATTAGAGTTGTTGTATTGGCACATCTGGGAGAACTTGAATCTGAGAGCTCCAGGTTTTCCCTTCAAAAAAAAATCAAAAAATCCATCCCCCTGCACCCATCAGTCCATCACATGGCCCAATCAAATCTTCGTTCCTACTGAAGACATTCCTTCAGTCACTCCCAGGTGCAGAGCAACATGCCCTTGACCAGGGGTCTTCAAACTTGACAGCTTTTAGACTTGTGGACTTCAACTCCCAGAATTCGTGCTCCAGTCATGTTAGCTCAGGAATTTTGGGAGTTGAAATCCACAAGTCTTAAACTTGCCAAGTTTGAAGATCCTTGCCCTTGACACTCTGGGAAAGAGTGTCTAATCGTCTACCTTACTATGAAATCCCCCCTCCCAAATTCCCAGGCACCGAATATGGCAGCCTCAAAGTTCCGAAGAGAAAAATGGCTTCCAAGGCTGACATTTCAATTGGGTTGAGGTGTGGACTTGTGGCTGGGTCATTGCTACAGCTCGATTCTTTTTCAGCCATTCTGTTGTAGATTTGCTCATGTATTTGGGGTCATTGTCCTGTTCCATGACCCAATATTGGCCAAGCTTTAGCTGTTGGAAAGTTGACATTTGGTCTCACATTTGACTCTAGAACAGTCCCAACCTTTGTGGCTTGGCAGCGGGCTGGGGTCGGGGGGATGGGGCTGTGCAAATGGTGAGCTGGCACGTGTGCTTGCAGTTCCACTCACTTGAGAGAGAAGCCTTTGGGGTACGGTTTCACACTCCTTTAAGCTTCTCCATGCCAAAAGCTTTTGCAAAGGGATGGAAGGCCTGAAGCAGCATGAGATTGCTCCCCCAAAGCCTTTCTCTGTAAAAGTTTTTGGTGCAAAGATAAACCTTTGGGGCCATGGTCTCATGCTCTTTCAGGCTCACAAAGGCTGTTAGATGCCCCCAAAATGGATCAGGTGTCCTGCACAGGCAGCCTCAGTAAGTCACACTCAGTCTCTGCTCTTGGAGCATCAGGAGTAGGTAGTTTAGCAGCCTGGCTGGGGGGGTGGGGGAAATCGGGCTATGTGAATAGCAGGCCAGTGCTCACACACATGCATGCAGCTCCACTCATGCATCCTTTGGGGCACCACATGAAAAGTGGAGCTGAGTGCATACATCAGCCTGCCTCTCACGTGGCCCAGTTCTGAATAGGCCAGGGCCCGGTAATATGCTGCAGCCTGGGGGTTGGGCACCTGCTCTGGAATACTTTGGTATACAGAGTTCAGGGTTGACTCAATGATTGCAAGGTGGGTGGATCTTGTGGTTGCAAAACAAACCCAATAATCACACACTCACACACACACACACACACACACACACAACCATGCTTTACAGTTGATGAGATATTTATGCTGATTTGCTGTGTTTGGTTTTCACCAAATGTAGTATGTGCATTATGGCTAATTTTCTTCACTTAGGTCTCATCTGTCCAGGCAATGTTCCAGAAGTCTTGTGATTTGTTCACATGCAACTTTGCAAACCTAAGCTTGCCATGTTCTTTTTAGAGAGAATAGGCTTTCTCCTGGCAATCCTTCCAAAGAACACTGTATTGGTGTTTTTCTAATTGTATTGTATTGTTAATGAACTTGTAAGATTTAACACACTAACTGAAGCCTATAGAGTCTGAGATGTAACTCTTGGATTTTTTTACAATATCCTGAGTGTTGCATGATCTGAAGTGAATTTGCTGAGACGTCTATTCCTGGGAAGATTGACAATTGTCTTGAATATTTTCCACTTGTGAATAATATTTCACTTTAGAATGATAGACTTTTAAGTAATTTAGAAATGGCCTTATACTCTTTCCCAGATTAATGGGCAGCAACAAATGCTTTTCTAAAATAATTGATGTCTTTCCTCTTTGGCATTATGTTAACACACACCTCAACACTGGAGATCAGCAAACACCTAAAACTTGGGCTTTTATAGAGGGTAGTGACACTTGCTGATGATCAATTGATTAAGAGCACCCAATTAGCATCTGGATGCTACTTAGCCATACCTATGGAAGCAGTAAGGGTGTACTTAGTTTTTCACACGTGGCTTTTCCATTTTGCCTTTCTTTTTGTAAAATAGATGATGATATGATGTAATATGTGTACATCTGAGATTGTATTTTCCTATTTTTAAGAACTAAAGCTCAGATAATTTTTACTTTGTCCTAATACGTAAAACCATAGAACTGAAATATGAACTTTCTTTTTCATATAACTGTAGCTTTTGTTGCAGCCGCTTTCCTATCAGAAATATAAATGGTGAAAAAATAAGATTTCATTTTCCAGACATATTTTAGTTGCATTAGGAAAAGGAAGTGAGCTATTTAATCAGTCCATCAAAGATTAGAAGGAGGACAAATCTAGAATACCTCTGAAAGCATTCTATATGACAGAAAAATTTATACTTCAGTGATGCTAGAATATATATACATTAAAAACCAGTTAAAATATTCTCAGTTGTAGACCTTTAATGTGTTTTATTAGGTATTTTTAAAACAATTTCATGTGACCAACCTGATTTTTCAATCATTTTTGCAGTAATCATTAAGTGAATCACTATGGTTGTTAAACAACCCATGATTGTTAAGCAAATGCCAGACATTAAGTAAACCACTTTTCAGCAAAACCATCATAAAATGCAACTATATGACTCTGGGTTCCTGCAAGTAGCTATAGAGGCAGCTGGTTCAATCAAAAGGTCAAAATTCAATCCAGAATTCAAACAGCCAAGACAAGTTTGTCATCCAATCCAAAGACTAAGATTTCTTGTTTAAACAAAATATATTGGAACAGTTTATATTTTCCTTGCATCGTAATAAATTGTATACATGGGAATCATTCTTGCTTGAATTTGATTAAATTTTCTTTTTTATTTAAACAAATTTTATTAATTTTTAAAAACAATACACAAACAAACAAAATGTAGAATATAATAACGTAAGACATCTTTTCTAAAAAAACAAATAAAACATCTTATTTAAAGACAGGACAATTCTAAATTATCACATTTCCATACAAGCACAATTTAATATGTATATTTATCTTATCTGTTCAAGTTCATATCTTTTCCCAACTTCTCTTTATTTCTCCCTTTCCTTCTATTCAATTGTATTTCTTTTGCCTTGGATTATATATATTCATTGTATCCATCTGTCTTATTTACAATTTCGTTATTCTCTTCCAACATTCTTCTAGTATTTTATTAATTCAAACATAGACAAACAAGACACAAAACATAAATACATAAAACTTCTTTTTGGAAAGCGGCTTACCCCGGATTACATCTTTTTGTACAGACATAAATCAAATTCTTGCTCACTTAATATACTATTTCATATCTTATTTAACATTCTATATTTTTAATATATTTTCTCTCTTCTATTCACTCTTCTATTGATTTTTTTTCCAGATTTAAGCTTCCTGTCAGATATTGTCAGAATTGTGTCTTTTATCCAATATTGGGCTAAATGTATTCTCAATACAGCAAGCATGTATGAATAAATGATGCTTTTTGTTAATATACACTGGAATTATAGTAAAAAATAATCTCCACACTTTCTTAATAATATGTATATCTTTTCAAGTACTATGGAGCTTTAAACCCTGTTGTGTTAAATATTTCCCTTTTTGTCATGGCATTTCCAATGTTTATTACTATATGATTTATCTATCTTGGAAATTATAGATGTTGTGTATCAGCTATTAAAATATTTTATACCAATTTTCTCTTTATTATGTAGATTTTATATTTGTTTTGTCTCTGTCTCTGTCCTATCTACATAGGATTTCTATATCCACTCTATCTGGTGGTATTGGTTTTGTATGAGCATTGCAAATGCTGTCATTCTTGTCCCTCCTTAATATGAAAATTTTATCCTTCCAACAACTTGTAAAGCATCACCTGTGGTGTATTGTGGCCTTCACTGAATATATTTC